ATTATTATTATTATTATTATTATTATTATTATTATTATTATTATTATAACAACACAAATAATAATGATTCATTTTACATTTTTATACAAATGTTGTTCAAATTGTCATTTAAAATGCCTTCTCTTCCTTTCAATTATAACAAACTCAATAAAGTTAAACTATTATTTCTTGTTTAATTTTTTTTTGTTTAATAGTGTCTATATATTGGCCTTAGAAGGCAATATTTTCCAGGAGAATCCCATCTACTGCAGTCTAACACATGTCACACTTCTCGTGTTTCAACCTGTTTAATTTTCCCCGCAACAATTATTGTAAATAATTAAAATAAGCTTTGATAACTCATATTACAAGCCCGGATTGTGCGAATGAGGACGGATAAATAATTTAGACACAGGCCGGGTCTTCTTTACTCATATCATATAGAAGGAGAAAAAACAAAACATGAAGGAAATCTAATGGTATGGCAGCCACGATCCGTTTTTTTTTAAGTTTTTTTTTTTTAGTTTTTCTCACCCAAATTTAAAGTGGAACGGGTGGAATAAAGCTTCCATTTACACACAGCGTGATATTGTCTCTTTACAGGCATTATGTGGTTGCTCAGGTAATAAAAGCTTTGTATTTAAATTGAGGAGATTATATTTGGTCACTTTAGGGTAAACAGAAACAGAGTTACGTTCCCGTGTCAGCAGGCATTCAGGCCGGGGAAGTTAAGAGAAAATATAAAAATAGAACAAAACTTTTTGCCTCCTTTTTGTGTTTTAAAGTTATCTTTTTTTTTTACATTTACAGAACCCATTAAACGCCACTCTATCCCCAGTCCGATTAGCATTTTATTCATTTAAAAATCAACTTTATAAATAATACATTTTAAACCGTTCTGAAATTTCGTGTTTTAGGCGTTTACTAAAAGTGGATGAAAATATTAAGATGAGATCTGCTTTTTGTTGAGTTTAAAACAACTCGTTGGGTACTGAGTTTTGTGAGGCCAAGACAGAAATAAATTATTACGCACGTTTTCATATTTCAAGTTACACTTTCGAGGATTGAAATCCTCAGTCATTAAGTGCCCAGTGGATCTCATGAAACTAAAGCCCAGAAACGATTAATCTGTAAACTAACTCTGCATACTCACGGTGCATCGCTGAGAAGGGGTCTGCTTTGCAGTGAATATCCATTGGATAGCAAAGGAAAGAAAGGTAATCGACTGAAGTCGCCGTTTCGACCCGGTGATGCAGCTTTGAAAAAGTAAAAGAAAAAAAAAAAAGAAGAAAGAATGACCAATAATTGGTAGCGTTTTTGGGAACACTCCTGCCGGCTGCCGCGGGTGGACAACTTCACGGGAGAGATGCTAAGTTTTTTTCCCCCCCCTCCTGTTACAGCCTGGACTCGGGAGTCTGCGGGAGAGCGCGGCAGGTGCGCAGCGTGACCCACGCGTGTTCGGAGCGGCCCAGTCCCAGCAACATTTGGCTCAAAGAGGCTCACTGCTCGCGTTTACAGGACATGGTGAGGAAGAAGGAAAGATTAGCTGTGAGTCCCCCTCTGCAGCCGGAGAAGAAGAAGAAGAAAAAAAAGAGAAAAAAATCCCTCTCCTCAGACGGCGGCGGTGGACCGGCAGGCTGTGGGCTTTTTAATCAGATAGGGGCGGAGATGACAACAACACGGACACGGCGAAGTGTACGGAGCAAACGCGTCCCCCTCTCCTCCGGAATGGGCTGTGCCTGAGCGAAGCTTTGGGCTGAGAATGAAAGCCCAATCCTTGTGTGTCTGTTTCTAAAAGCTGCAGTCCCACAGATCACCCCCCTCCTACCTCCATCCCACAGATCCCCTTGCATAGAGATGGATGACTTGTCAGACAAAGGCAATAGATTCCAACACTTTGTGATTCGCCCACGTACAACAAAAAAAAAAAAGGAAAAAAAAAAACTGCAGCTCAAATGAGGAGGTCCCTGCATCCGACAGCCAGGAAGGGGAGGGAGACGAAATGGGAAATGATGAGACTTTGGGGTGAAGAATCAAGGAAATTAAAGGCAGGGGGGGCAGAGGAGAGGTAAAGCCCGGGCAGGTTATGTTGCTTAAAGCAATGCTTTGCACTCACACAGATGTTTTCACATGGGACTCCCAGAACTTTAGAACCACGATACTCGTTGGAGCTCACTTGGGATATTTTTTTGTTGTAAAACCTACTAAGAATATCTGAAATACTGACTCAACCTTAAATATTGTTCAAGGCTGCAAAGTTGAACAATCCCTTTTCGTTAATGGGCCTGTGATTTTCACCTTTTTAACCTCCTTTTTCAAAGTTTATTTGCAAATACGGCCTATATGCAAAGAGCATGGATCCTGACAAGCATTTCTCTGCATGATCTGTTGAGCAAAATATGTAGCTTGAATCCAACATGTTTCCATAAATGAAGAGGCCAAAGTGAAAACTGATACGCATCTTTCAGATTAGATATCTGACCAAAAAAAAAGAGAAAAAAAGTAGTTCTTGTGCTTTTTGTGCGCGCGTTGGGCTCGCTACCTGCAGAGGGAGAGTCCGTCAGAAGGCCAGCACCATCCCTGGCCGCCTATGCGCAGCTCCACTCTGTAGATGGCGCTCACACAGCAGGTTACGCTGCCCGCTGAGCCCACGCGCGCAGGTGGGCAGGTACGTGCTGATGCCGCCGAGGCCGGCCAGGTCAAAGGTTGCCGGTGAGATTCCCGCAAACGATGTCCTGGAACTCAGTCCAGTATGAAAAACGCAAAGAGAGAATATCAAAGGAATCTTCACTGGAGGTGGCATTGACAAAATGAAAGCCCCACGCCATCTGGAACGCGCAATTTCTCCACTTTTGCAGAAGAAAAAAAAAAGAATGGAAATAAATGCTAATTGGGAGGATAGTGGAAAAGGTTTGTGATATTTACGACACGTCGATTCAATCGTCACAACAGTCGTTAGCTGACATTCAGAGGATCTTCGTGGCTTGTCCAGCTTCCCTCTGGACAAGTGTGAGGACGGTTCCTCTTGTTTCTGCATGTTTTATTTTTATATATATTTTTTTTTTTTTTGGTGGGGGGAAGGACCTCCTGGTACAATGTGTAGCACCATGGGCTGTAATTTCACACGTCAGTGCACTTTTGCCCCAAAGCTGCTGCTATTTCGCCCACAACACTCCTACTTGCCCCCCGAACCTCTCTGCACCGCCACGGTGACGTCCGCGTGTCACAGCTCCACAGCAAAACAAACGCTGCGATGATTAAGAAGCTGTTAGTCCTGAATTAAGCCCCCCTCGCCCCGAATTGATCAATAAAGAAGATCGGATCAGTTGATTTTAACGTACTTGACACTTACAACCGCTGGTCTGGGGGGGTGTATCTAACTCACTATAATTTAAGTAGCTTATATCAATAATGTTACTTCTTGTTTACCTGGTAAAGTTACATATTGTATCTATTTTGCAAAATGTAAACATTAAGTTGGAATCACAATAAAAAAAATGCAAAGAAACAAATAGAATACATAACAACAATCAAACCAAATATTAAATGCAAAGATGGAGATAAATGCCACGGAAAGGATGATTAATTTCCTCAAAGGACGAAACAAATCCTTTCCTTCCGTTTTTTAAAGGCATATGGCCTGTCACGCCCGTGCCATGTAATCAATAATACTGTTATCTGATTGTTGTCTGAGGCCCCGCAGAAAGCCACAAACCTTTCTCAAGTCTTTTCTGAGATGGTTAGAAATGTATATGCAGATGTCTGGGTGTAGACGTGAATGCTGTCGACTGAGAGTGAGAGAAAAGACATTTTAATTATTTTTTCGTTTTATTGAAAATGATGCAGACCTAGATTCCTAACAATATCACAGCTTTTCGATGGTCTCACTCTAAATACAGTTTGTTCTTGTAAGCATTCATAGTTAAGAAATTAATCAAATATAGCCTGGAAATGTATTCTTTAAAAAAAATCATTAGGACATTCAGGTATTTGCGAGGTATTCGACGAAAAAAACTCCCCAAGCATTATAGATTAGAGTACTTAAAAAGCCAATTTTTGTGTCACAAAATCATAACTCTGACCATATTTCCCCTGAATCTATTTTTCCTCTATTAGTAAAAACATCAGAATTATATCAGAAGTCTCTTGCAGCATCCCACAATGATTTGGAGTCTCCTGACACCAGGAGCCATATGGGTAAGCTATGCCACACTGCAGGATATCAGCTGCGTCCTTAGATTGCCTATTCATGCGCTTTATAACAGGAGCAGATGGATATCAATTTGACTCTATTCTCGACACCATAGCAGATTGATTTTGTACTTGCTTTTAATTTTGCCATAATTAATGAGATCATTACAAGTGTTTTGCATTGATCTTCCCATCTAAACCAAAAAAATTGAGAGGTGCATTAGATGTTGATCTACGTTTTCAATTAAAGCACCAAACAGATAAGTGATGTTAAAGGATTATTAAGTTCGTTTTTGCAGCAACAACAACAATAACAACAACAAATAAAACTACTACTACTATTACTACTACTAGTAGTATGATAATAATAATAATTTACCTCATAACATTATCTAAATTCCTAATTGCTAATCAAAGAAAACACAGAAAAGGCAATGAGGTTAACTCACTTTACATAAAGAAAAGCGAACTCTTTTGAAGTAATAATTAAAAAAAAAACTTGGAATAAAAATCCAAACGAGCATCTAAAGAGGAGCCCTCAGTCTCGTCCTCTCGATGCAACCAGTATACCTGCAAACAAATGCGGACATTAGTCTGAGGCAGAGGCAGAAATCCTTACCTGATCGACCCGCGCTGTGAGGCATGGCTCTCCCTTGTCTAATGGTGCGTCTCTCCGATGCAGCCCAGTAGATCTGTCCGGCCTCCTGCGCTCCCACCCCGGCTGGGCGTCGCGCTTCTCCCCGCTGGTTGTCAGAATCTTTGACCGATCATCCAAAACTAAACGGTTTAGGCGACAACAAAAAGAGGAAGCAACCCTGCTCCAATGAGCTACGAACTGATAAAGGAGTAAAGGGAAAATAAAAACCAAAGAACACAGAGCCGTGCAGGTGCTGCATTAAAGCCAACTGTAAAAACCATTAATGTTCCAAAAAAAAGTAGCTTTCTCACAGCTTCACTCGTTGTTTAACACCTATTGATGCCATCTACATTTCTAAAACACTCACTAACGTTTGTCCAAATGAAGCTTGAGTAGGCCTTTGCTATTCTCAAGAAAAGTGAGGTTAATTTCTCTGTTTTTTTTGTTGATTTGTTGTCAAGTGTTTTTGCTAAAACTCTCAAATCAAAATCAGTTTTAAATGATCAAACTATTAAATATATTTGCAAAAGAAATAAACATCTTCAACTCCCCAAAAATCCATGATTTGTAATTATTTGGCTGTATTTTATTATTTTGTATGCATACAAGGACAATGTATTAATGCTGTTAAATGATGAATCATTAATGTTTTGATATGTTTTAACATTTTGATGCTCTTAGATTTTGCACCTTATAAGGTGCAAAATTTAAGAGAAGCAAAAGATTCAGTCCTTTCAAATAAACTTCCCAGAGGAAACTTTCCCTGTGTGTTTAACAGTGCAAAGGGGTACGGGGAAAAGAGTATAAGAGAGAGTATAAAACTTAGTAACTGGAACATTAACAGATGAATAACCAGTAAAAAATGCAATATTACAATATCCACTAGAACGGCAGAGCGTGGTAAAGCTATAAAACCCAACATTAAAAGATTATAGCTTCTCTATCGGCTATTTAACAAACATTTTGTATTATAAGACTCTTTACAGTGCTTGAAGTTCAGAAATGGCTATAAGACTGCCACTGGACCAAGAACCAGCAATGGATATTGGACAACAGTTTATATTCGGCTAGCACTGATCTGCAGCCTATTTGAAGGCCATTTAAATGAGAGCCTATTTTTGATCATCATAATCACAGTGCATATCATTATCGTATTATTTTATGGATTGAAATGCATGGAATAGAATGTATTGGAAAAATGTAAGTTTAGATCAAACAAAAATAAAGTAAAATACCCCCAATTTACAAATGAATGTTGATTGAATTTATCATCAACAACTGTTGGGCTCTGCAGGACGTAATGAAATAAAAATACACAACACTCTTTCTTATTGAATATACATTTTTAAACCTTCACATAACTTCCAGTAGCCAACAATACATTTGGTTAAATTTACAGATTGGCTGATAGACACAAATTGACCAACGGTTATCTTGTTTCTACAATGTTACATTTATTACTGCGAGTATTAAAAATGCATTTCCATCAATGAGCATTCAGCCTGCCCTGCTAATCTTGACATTAATGGTCTTAATAACTGCTTTCTCACTCTGACTGCTAAGGCGATACACTAGGGGTCTGCAGGAGCGCCTAAATGGGAGGAACCAAGTCGAGGATCTTAAATGGCCATAAAGCTGTGTGGGTCTGTCAGTAATGGAACCTAAGCTCTTCTCAGAGCCGCACACCACATTTACGGGTTATGACCAGAATCTGCAGGAGAGGCAGATTGAAAATTGAGGGAAAGGGGTGATTTTGTTTGGGGTGGGGTGGTGGGTGATCTTATGGCGTAGTCCATTAGACTGTTCAACAGTATCTACTCTGTCCAAAATTGCCAGGGGGTGGGAAGAGAATGTATGTGAATGTGGGGGTGAGGTTAATGTTGAGATATCTATAAACCGGCTCTTCCTGCCTCCTCTCCACGGACACACAAAGTTCTCACCTGCGCTTCTGACCTTACTCCTCCAGCCCCAGCACTGCCTCACCACTCCTAATTTTTTTTTTCTTAGATCGTGTCCCACTTGCTCATGGGCTGAACATTAAACACACCTCCTTCGATTCACACTTCATGCTCCTCCATCTCTCCCTGGCACCACCTCCCTCTCCTCACTTGGAGGCTATACTGTAACTCTTTGCACATGGCTGTGCCCATCATTTATCACATTAAAAACCAGATTTGATTCAGACGAATTTCTATCTTTCTAATTTTTTTAGGCCCACTTAAAAGGTCTTAATGTTAAATGTAATATCCCGTAATTAGTATACTTTTCCAAATTGTGTCAATATTCGTTCCTCTTTTTGTGAAAGAAAAATGAATGGCCAAACTATGGCAACAAAATGTTTCCTGCCTGGTTGGATGTTGTTGTTGTTGTTGTTTTTTTAATTATTTTTTTAAATCTGGGCTTAGCAGCAGCCAGAATCATCATCATCATCAACTCTTGCCAGCTTTTCATATTTAACCCTGTAAAACCCAAATATAGAAAAACACTAAAAAAAATTTTTTCAACCATTCAGATGTTGTTGTAGGAGGCCTTTGAGGCTGAAAATGAAGTGTTTTTAAAAAAAATATGTTTTAGTAAGTTTTTACAGAAATGTTGTAATATTGCAACATTGGGTCAAATGGGGAGCAGAATTTCCTGTATTTGCACTCATTGTCTGAACACCAATACTGAACTACGGATTCATTTGCAGGATTTTGCTTTTATCCCAGAACAGTATAAGAGGAAAAATAATTTCAGTCATGTTTTTATGAACAGTTTTTTTTATTTATTCCAGCAAAGAGAACTTTTTATTTACAATTATAGTCCCAAAAACAGTTCCTTTCCTATGAAAAACAGAGGCGAACATCGCACTTGCTGCAATGGGTATTCGTATACCCTTTACTGCAATGTCTGCAACGTCTTCTCTTGACCTTTCTTGCCTCCGATATCTGTCTCGGGGCATGATGCGTTCATTTTCTTGGGGCTCACTGCCACATTGGATGGGCAGTCAGAGGGCTCTTGGTTTTCTTTGTCCACAAAGGGATCATTGTCTGACTCCTCGTCACTTGCATCGTTGTCATCAAGGGGTACGTCCACATCACTCTCTCCATCTTGGATGATTGCAATGATATCCTGCACACTGTACCGAGGATCTTTCCTTGCTGCTGGCATTCTGAAATGGAAAAGATAAAATTGAAACAAATGTATATGTACATAGTATACATACTTATATTCTAGATAACCTGCAGGAAAAGACGGGGTGGTCGAGAGATTGATTTTAATTTGATTTGAAGTGTTTACACATGGCACTGAAGTAACCTATTCACACATTTCACTGGTTCCACAATACTGTGTGGCCGACCAATTCTAAACTCTGATTATCATGTAATAGGAATGTAAGTAGCCTCCAACTTACAGCCACACCTTACATTCCTGAACATCAACCCCTGTTCCTGAGCAATTCAATGCAAAGGCCCCTCCAAGCATCCCCCACACCTGCTTTGACTATGAATTGATTGGAACCTTTCCTTATCAATAGCCAAGACACATGGGCAGACATGCAGAACATGTCTGTTGTGTTGTAGACATGTTAGAAAGCCCTGCCTTCTGTGATAAGGGAAAAATACTGAGTGTTGAAGGTGGTTAGAAATCCTTAAAAACAAATTAAAATTATTAGATATGTATATTATCTAATCTACATTAGGTTCTAACACAATAATATATATAATCCAATATAATCCAATACAAGGCTAAGGGCTAGAATGTGTAAATTATGTGTGGTTCAAAGTTATATTGGGCATTCCTCTCAAAAAACAGGGGTTGTTTTGACTACCACATTCACCCAATGTTGTAATTTTGCAACAATTACAAAACAAGCTCTAGATAAAATGTAGGGCACATTTTCTACAATAACTACATATTCACATGTTGTAGACACTGTAATAAACACAGAAAAAAATATGCAAAGCCTTTTACTTACTTTAATCAGATAAATCCAGTCCAGTAAATCGAGGGGATGATGCTCAAGCAAAAATCTGGAGGTTGTGTGACTTCTTCACCTGAGGACAGGCCTTGTATACAAATGTAGGACCCAATAGCATTTTGAAACCAAACAACATGACCCAATGAGTATTTTAATGCAGTTGAACCAAAAAAAAAAAAAAAAAAAAAGGTTTATTTTGGGAGGACAAAAAATGTTGTAATTCTGCAACAGTGGGTCTTACAGGGTTAAAGCCAGCAAGGGTTTAATTACCAAATGATGACAGTGTCATATGGTACCATGATGGCACGGAATGAGTGTGTAAATTGTGTGTGTGTCTCAGTCTATCCTTTTTTTGCTGCACACATCTGTTTGTGGCAAGTGTGAGAGTGTGAATAGGCTCCTGTTTTGGTAACGTCGTGATGATTGGAAGCTCAAGGGCTCGAACGGAGAAACACATTGTTTTAGGATATCTCATGAGAAGGAGGAGTAGCAGGGAGAAAAAGCTCCGTAAAACATCTGTAATTTGTAATTCCCCAGTATTCAATGGCTGCTCATGGATTAAAGATTAAAATCTATTGTCTTGACAGATGGGAGAGAGAGGGTAAGAAGAGGGGGACACTCATGCACATCCCATTTCCATTTGGATATGAGCGACACAGTTTGGCTAATCACAGTGGAAAAATAAGCTGTCTGCCTGCCTTACTCAGGGCAATGCCACCATGAGCCTTAATTCCAGCTGTGGAGACATCAGCGCCAGACAGGGTTCGCTCTGTCTCAGCCTGCAAAGAGCATGTGTTTATTAATTTTCCAGTGGGAATAAAGTACCCAGCAATCAGCAGGTAGAAATGGCTACCAGGATGTTGTGAGTTACCTCAAAAGAAAATACTATAATCAGATATAAAGGATTGTCATTGATATTAGTTGAGTTGAGAGCACAACACGCATGAGTTTGAGTTTCTTGTTTAGTCTGTGTGGTCTGTACTGAGAGGGCGATGTACGTGTGCGTATGTGTGTGTGTGTGTGTGTGTGTGTAAGGGGTAATGGTCTGGTCAGTGAAGTGAAGCAGACCACCTGAGAGTTGTTTTTGGGCATTAGTGTGTGTTCTCCCTCTCTCTGCCTTTCTTTCTATGTGTGCGTGTGTGATATATGACACTGGCCATCTGAAGGAGGAACCATG